CCAGAGTCACACTTGCAGTGAACAAAAACACCCACCCCCACACAACATGAAATTCTGCCTTTAATCTCAGGTTCCAGTAACAACCTTCTCCCCATCCAATTACTTGTCTTACAATTGACATTGAAGTATTAAAGTCCTAAGAACTAAAGCGCTTTGAAAGTATAACCTACTTTTAAAGCAGACAAGATTTACAGTGGAAGCATTTACTTTCTAGTCCTTGACGTTATCAGAGTCACTGATGCCTCATCAGCAGCTCCATAAATGAGTCCTYCAAACAAAATGTCTGGTTGGCACTTGCTGGGCACTGTTTGCAGGCTGAACCCTGCCAATGGCAGTCTGGCACAAGCCCAGAGCTTTGCCCCAGAGGCTTCAGTGTAGGGTTTGGTCAGGGTGTGATTTCAGCACAGGAGCCACAGAAAAGGCCTTTGCCACTGCAGGGAAAGAAGCCAAACAGCCATCCTGGAGGTATTCAAGGCCAAGGTGAAGCATCCAGGCCTTGTGCAAGGTTGAGCAGTGGAAGGTGTTCCTGCCCATGGCAGGGGTGGAATGAGATGAACTTTAAAATCACTTCCAACTCAAACCATTCTGTGATTCCATAATCCTTCAGAGGCAGCCACAGCAAGACACAACTGAGTCATGAGCAATTTGATAAATACTGCTGTAACAGGAGTCCTGACCTAAAGATATCACCACAAAGTGAGTATTCTAAAGGAGGATTTCCTTGTAGGTGTCACCCCACTGCCCCACAGCCACATGCAACCCCTTCTGCCTCTCCAGTGGCACCAGACCTGATCATGGCTGAGCCCTTCAGGCTATGTGGCAGGTGACAGCCCTGTCATCATCCCCTATGACTCTGAAACCATGTGTGACCATGGTGTGCCCTTGGCACCCTCCTGCTCCCACACACTGCCTGGCACAGTCAGGTCTGTCCTGCACACCTCTGACCATTGCTGAGTAGCAGAGGCTGCTGAACTGCGGGCTCACTGCTGCCAGCCACAGCACCCTGGAACAGATCAAATCAAAACTGGGGAATCTTTGCACTGGAGCAAGCACCAGGCTCCTAGCCGCACCAGCCACAGCAGCCACAGAAGCAGCAATAGTGGTGCCCCTGATCCCCACCTCTGCCTGGCCCCAGCCCTCACCATAAATTGCCACACTAACTTACATGGAGAGGCATTAACTTTCACTCCTGAAACAAGGTGCAATTAGTTGGGCATAAAAGAACAACAAAGTGATGCTAATTACCCTCTAAAAGATGAATAAATTAAGCCAGAGAAGTAGAAAATTACCTTTGTGCGAGATATGCTGCAGAGTTTAACTGAACAAGGATGGTGGCTGGATTGGTGTTGAGAGGTTCAGCTCTGCTTCTGTTCCTCCCTGCTTCCAGCCAAGCCATCAATCCCTGAGCCATCCAGGCAAGACCACRGGCCCTGCAGGGGGTCTACATCCATCCACATCACCCTTTAGTCATGGTCTTGGTCTGGAGCCCCTGCTGGCACTACTTTGGGATGAGGGGCAGTGGGCAGGATGCTGGACAGCTGCAGCTGCACCAGCTCAACACCCACAATGAAGAATTTGTCTTTTAACACCAGTTCACAAGCAACTTGACTATCCTCTTTAGTTTGTTCCTGGAAACCATCTAGAGTTTTACAAAGATATTAACTATTCCCTACACATCCAGCAGTATTCAGGGAGACAATAGTACTGGTTTCACATCCATCCCGCTGGCTCCTTACGCTGCCTCACAACACTTTGTTGATCAGTAATTGCTTCCGATAACACAATTCGTCACCGACCAACACTGCTCCTTGCAGCCTGCCCGAAGATCATAGAATCACAGAATGGTTTGCATTGGAAGGRCCTTCAAGATCATCCCATTCCGCACTCTGGCATGAGAAGGGACACCTTCTGCTAGACCAGGTTGCTCCAAGCCCTGTCCAACTTGGCCTTGGGTACTTCTAGGGATGGGGCAGCCAGAGCTTCTCTTAGCCACAGCAGCCCTGTGCAAGTGCCTGTTCCAGAGATGGGCAGCAGCCTTCCTGGGAAGGCATGGTTCCTCTAGAGCTTTGCCACCAAACCACCAAGATCCAGCCCCTCCCCTAGGGTGTTTGCAATGGTGCTGCTCTGAGCCAGTGCTCCTGCTTTGCAGAAGGTCCCACGTCCCCACCAGTCAGTGACAGCACTCACAAAACAAACTGGGATCTGCCCCAGGTTTACTCCCCTGCAGCCCCGAGGAAACCTGTTCATCAGGCAGTGCTCCAGTTGCTACACAGTCCAAGTACTTTCTGACTCCAAGTCCTTCCCTTGCACAGGTCTCTCCTCTGCTGAAGAAGAAAACTGAAGCATCTGTGGAAGAGCTGGAATACAAAGAGCACAACTTTGAGGCTCTTCATGGCTAGCATGAGCACAGGGGTGTGCCCTGAGCAGCCAGGACAGCCCTCAGCAGAAGGGATTTTCAGGTGATCAGCCATGGCGAGTTGATGCTCTCACCCTTCAGATCACAGCATTATGCTCAGGGCTGCACCCAGGACAGACCTTCCAGCACAGCGCACTCAGGACTGGGCTGCCCCATGAAAAAGCTGGAGGTAACAGGGAGTTTGATCCAGTGCAAAGCCACATGCATCTGGGAGCTCAAGGAGTTTCTGCCCCCATCTGTTCCAGGCAGACAGGAAGTGCACAGTACTGTGCAGCTCCTGGGACTTTTAATAGTAATTAACAATCTGTTCTACTCAAGTCTTGGTGGCAAGGGGTTAGGGAAAGCTGTCTGTCAGGATCTGGAGCAAGAAACCCACCAGGATGGCTCTGATGTGGCTGCAAATGCTCCCGAAAGGAGAAAGATCCACCTTCCCCACCAAGGGCTCTTGCCTCAAGAGCCTCCTGCTTTCCCTACTGTTCTCTGATGTTCATACATATAAAATCTTTTTGTTCCCATCAAAGCTACTCCTGGATTTATGCTAATGGGAAAAGCTCATGGAATGTGCTGTGGGAACAGAAGACTTTAAAAAGCAGGTTGAGAAGCAGTGCAGGGAATGTGCTTCCAAGAACTGCTGCCACTGCTCTCCCGGCTGTGCAGGACTTGCTGTACCTGCAGCACTGGCTGCTTATTCCAGCCTAGTTACAACTCTCTTCATCTGCAAGATGCATTATTTACCAGCCTGACATGCAGCTCATTTAAAAATCAGATTTATCAGCAAAATAGTAGCACTTGCTGTGGCAGCTTCCAACAAGAGTGCTTTGCTGGGCTTGTGTTGTCTAGGCAGATTTCTGTCCAATTAATCACCAAAGAGTGCAAGCACAGAGCCCGCAGCCCCTTCCCAGCCTGGAGGCTCTGCTCACAGCACCACTGGGACAGAGACCACCTCGGACTTTGGACTTCCACGAGCAAGCTAAGCAGGAGGAGGCCCATGCCAAGGGAACAACYTTCATGGAAGCACAGTGAACTCAGTGCTGCCAAGAGCCTGGTTCCACAACTGCATGCAGTTTGAGCAGCTGGATGCTGAGTTCAAGGGAGCTCATCAGTCTGTCCTGCTCCACAGCATCCACAAAGCAGAGTGAACAGTTTGTAGCATGTGCCAGTGGTGGCAGCAGGTCCTGGTGGACAGTCCCAGAATGGCAACCCAGGGCTGCCATCCCTGTGCCCACCGCTGACAGATCCTTGTGTGGCTGCCTGGGAGAAAGTCTAAAAGAACAGCTGAGCAGTGGCTACACTCTTACAGGGCAAGAGAGGGTATAAATGTCTATGGGAAGATCCAGGCAGTTGCTATAAAGCTGCATCCTGGAATGCACCGCCTGCCCTACACCTGACGGATATTTGAGGTGCCACTTCCCACACCCGGGTGCGGGGTCTGCAGCAGTCCAGCAGTGCCTGGTCTGTTGTACGGGGGGTAGAAACAGCTCGCTTCAGCTGAACCACACCATAGGAACCATTCTGGTGCCAAGGAATTTTTGGCAAACTGTGTGAAGTGTCAGTCGCTATGCAAAGGTGCAACTGTTCATGGAATGAAGTGTAGTCAGAGCTCCTCAGCAGCTCAAGATCCACCCTGAAAGGGGACACCAGCGCTCAGAGGAGCAGTGTCCTTCCCCTGCGTGCTCCCTTCCCAGCCAGTACCCTCTACCCTGTTCCTCTGCCCCCAGCTCCTGGGGCCAGTTACCCCATTGGGCCATTAGACAGTGCCGGTTTTGGGTGGGAACAAACCAAGACCCTCCTGAGGGTATTGTCCACACCTAAGAGTGCAGCAGTGCCACGGGCACAGGAGCCAGGGCCAGGGCCAGTCATGTCTGGGTCACCCACAGCTGAGGGGCCCATGGCCATCTCATCACACCTACGCTTTCGCTCTGTGACGCTTGCTACTCTGGGCACCATGGCCCCTCTTTGCAGCCAGGACTGGGAACATGCTGTAAACACACATAAATATTTAATGTTCAGAAAGAGAGTTTTTGCCATGATCCAGATTTCTTTTCCCTTGATGCCCTGCTAGGACCCAAGAGGAGCTCAGGCGTGGACATGTGCAGCCCCTCTCTGTGTCCACAGCAGCACGCAGACCAAATCAGCCAGGATGGCACATTTTCTCTGCCCACTGTCCCATCCTCRCAGGGTTTGTCTTTGAGCCAAGGTGGACACATGCCTGCAGGTGCCACACTCCCCACCTGCAATGGGGACAAACACAAAGTGGGGAGGTGGATGACCTGCTCCCTTGCGAGGCACAGGAGGAAAGCTGAGATGCTCCAAGCAAGATCAGCCCCTTTCCTGCAGCAGGCTTCTCCACCAGGAGAGGTGCCCACAAGGGGCTTCCCAGCCTCAGGCCCACCTTGCTGCAGCATTGCTTGGCTCTTTTTCCCACCTACTCAGGCCAGGGGCAGGTTGACCTCCCTGGGAGCACCCGCTGGCACCGGCAGGGCCGACTGTTATTCCCTGGCTCCTGCTCCAGCTCACAGCGGAGTTGCGCTCTCCAAAGGCAGCACTGCCTTATCAATCATAAAAGGCAATTTCACCAGAGACAGCCAGGAGATTACTCAATCCCTTGTGTGCCTCATCTGCTGCTGAMAGTAGGGGAAGGACTTTATTAAGATGCGATTTGACAGTAACGCAAAACAACAACAGCATTAAGGGAAGAATAATGGCAAAGGCAGCTGTCAAAAACCTCATGTTCCCTAACCAAGAGCAAGAAATACAGAACTGTCAGGCCTGAGCAGAGGCTGAAAGCGAGGGCAGGACTGCAGCAGGGAGCCAGGTACCAGTGCCCATGGGGCAGCCTGGCTACCATGGAATCTCAGCTTTGGGATGTAGACACAGGGAGGATGAGAGGACCCTGGAGTCACCTCAGCCAGCTCAGCAGCTTGCCAGCTCCAAAGCCACAGAGCCCAGGGGAGGGGCAGTGTACACCAGGGTCACAAGTACGAGTTACACAAGTAACCTTGCACATCCATCAGGGCACGACCTAGTACCATGAGCCCACAGCAGGCATAGCTGTCCCCTCTTGAGCCAGGGCCCAGCAGAGCCTGACAATCATCTTTTCCAGGCTGGAAGCCCCTGCTTCCTCCAGGCACTTGGTTTAGCATAAGTCACTGCAGGGTCATGACASCCATTATGCAACCTGCTCACAAATATTGCAGTAGCTTTGGGCAGCCCGACTGGCCTGGTGGGTGCTGCCTTGGAAAGCAGCAGAGGGAAAACCTCTCCAGAAAGTCACTGGCAGAGCCCCAGCCCAGCACTGCCAAGGAACCGCAGAGCTCTGCAGCTGTGRGTAGTGCCAACACAGGCAGGAGAAACACCAGATGCAAGAGTGACATCCCACTTGGAAGGACACCGAGAGCCCCTCGTTGTCAGAAGCACTGTCCTGAGGTTGAACAGCCTGGACAGGGATACCAGAGCTCAGCAAGCAGAGGCTCAGCCAAAACTTCTTCTCTGGATCAGGCCATGTTGGAGCATCCAAGGGAGAGAGGACACCTTCTGTGCTATCCAGGCTCCTCGAGTTGCTGTGAAAAAAAAAAAAAAAAAAAGGGTTTGATAATATGTATGTGTGGACAGACAAACAAACAGGACTTAATGAAACCTTTATTTTAAAAATATGGGTTTTAATTTAAATGCAAATTGGGTGCTGTATCGGCTGTAGGTCACTTGCACTGACACACTGCTTAATTAGCAGGAATGAGGCACAAGAAGCAACAGCACAAAAGGTTGGCCTTTTCCTGGGCATTTATTTTAATTAAATTTTTTCGGGACGGGATCGGTCCTGCGGTATAGAACATCTCCTCACCCAGTTCAGCCAGATCTTTCCCAAGCCACGCGCATGCTGCCAGGGTCCTCTCAGCAGCCTGTTAGCTATTAATGGAGCAGGACACATTTATTTCTGCATCCCAAAATCCCCTCTGGCAAGTCACAAATCACAGCCCTCTGCTCAATAAATGTTCCTGCAATATCCAGTGTCAGGCAAATGGTGTCAGTGATAAATCTGTGCAAGGACAGCAGAGATGTTTCCAGCTGCTGGGCTGAATTACATTGGTAAGCCTTCAGAAGACCTATTAAACCTTCCAAGTGATGAGCAGAGCGGTTATCCTGTGTTACACGCAAGTTACGCGCAGGAGGATCTTGTTCAGAGAAGGCCTGCCTTTGGCAAGACAGAYGTGCTGGAATGAGAGCCCCAATCCACAAGCGATGAGCTGGAATCCAGAGCCCTGAAATAAGAAAGATGAGAGCTCTGATCTCTGCTCAGGGCTCCAGAAGCAGAACTTTAACCCTTCCCTCAGACCAGCTCTGCCTCACGTTAGAGAAATCCTGACATGAAACATCACCAGGAGATGGAGGGGGCAGAGCAGGAGCAACGGTGCGGCTGCATCCCTGTCAGTAACCGCACGGGGTTCAATCGGTGCATGTGCCTCATCAGGCAGATCGATGGCAATGCATTGGGAGAAAATGAGATAAACAGTGGCCTTAATAGCGCTCCATTGCTCTCCAAACAGCAACCCCAGCCAGGGCTGCCTCTGGGCACAGCAGGAAAAGGCCCTTGGATTAAAGGACATGTTCTGAGCTTGTCCTGTCTCTGCTGTGCTCTGCTTCAGCTCATTTTCATCCTGGTCAGCTCGGACCAGATCCAGAACCAGCCAAGTCAGACATGGAAAGAAGAAGCACTGGGTGGGAGCCCAGGGCCTGGTGTGTGCCACGTCTCTGGGGGGCTTTTCCCTTCCTCCCTAGTGTCCATAACCWAGAGAGCATGAGCTTGCCCTCCTAAAGGGTGTCAGAAATCTCATCTCCAATGCACAACAGGAGCTAACCACTCCTTTTCTCACCTGAGGAAGCCCAGGTGAACAGTCACATTCACGTGCCCATCACTGCCTGCAACAACAGACATCCCTGTGTGATCTCTGCCATCATCTACTCCGTGCTGCTGGGACTCGGTGCTCCTATGCTGTCAATGTCTGGCTGGAGGCAGCTGATGCTCTCTGGGGTGATGATCTCCATCTTGGTGTTCCCAGTAAACCACTTCAGGGCCAAAGCCATAGAATTAGGATTTGGAGTTTATTTGTTCCCCTATACTCCTGTCCTCCTATGTGAATACATGGGCTCATTCTGAAAAAGGATCCCATGTATCTTCCTGCTTCCTATGGGAACAGCAGCCTGGATTTCAGGGGGCTCCCAGTGCAGGTGACAGCCATGGCTGCCTTGGGATTGGAATCCAAAGCCCCCAACACTGGGGTGCCATGGACCCAAGGACTGTCTTCTCCTTCCATCTCAGCTATTTGCTATTCCCGCACTAAGCCCAGACGTGAGGAACTTGGGACTCAATTTGGCAGAAGGTAAAGCTGTGAACTCACAAATGAGGGGTAACTTTTCGAAATGGGAGTCTGAAGGAATCCCAGGGACACACAGGCCTGCTCCCAGAGGGGGCTGCATCCAGCCCCACTGCCCCTGCTCACCTCCCCGTGTCACCCACCCCTGCCCACCACACCGTGGTCATGCACTCCATCGCTCCACGGTGCCCAGGCTCGGGCTCACAGCACCAACCATCACTCCTGAGCCTGGAGACTCACCCAAAGGGGACACAAACTGTGGGAGGGAAGGAGGGGAGAACCTGGCAGGCAGGAGGGAAGGTGCTTTCATGAAGCATCCAGTACTAAATTACTGAAGGATTAAAGTGAGGCAGGACTAGGATGCTCCACAAAACCTCAATCATTAGTGAAGCCCGAGGGTAAATGCAATTGTTTTCTGTTTTTTCCTGTCTTTGATGACCCAGTTTTTAACTCTCATCAGCACTAAGCTTGTGTTAATTTTTAAATATGCTTGGGTAACTGAGAACATTAACTATTCATGATCTTATCTGCAATAGCTGCTGGCTTTGACACTGTGCCAGGGAGAGCTGAACTGGCCAGGGAAGGCAGTAGGCTGGTTTTTCCTGAGCATCTTGTTGAAATGATCACAGGGGTGGAGTTCCACAACACCCCTGGATAAATCAAGGCTTGTGGGGTGGGTTAGGATCATTGAGGCCACTCTCCTGCAATTGAGGTGGTTGGAAAATACTTAAGAGCACACAAAATGCTGGGATCTGGGGAATGCTGTGGACACTGAATTCTTGAGCTTCAGGGGAACTTCACTATGGTTYATGAGGGGAACCTCCGAAGGTGGTAGATGACTGTTGTCCCCTGCCCAACCAGATACTGTCTAGGCAGAAGCTGGAGAAATCCCCAGTAATCAGGAATGTGAGCTGATAAATCACAGATTCATGGAATGTTTTAGGTTGGAAGGGACTGAAGAGCTCATCTCATTCAACCCCCTACCCATGGGCTAGGACATCTTCCAGTGGACCAGGTTGCTCTAAACCCCATTCAACCTGGCCTTGGACACTGCCAGGGAAGGGGCAGCCTCAGCTGCTCTGGAAAATCTGTGCCAGGGCCTCAGCACCCTTACAGGGAAGAATTTCTTCCTAGTACCTAACCTAAGCCTTCCCTCATCAGCTTAAGGTCTTTCCCCCTTGTCCTGTCACTACATGCCCTTGTACAAAGCCCCTCCCCAGAATAAGCATGGAAGTCAGGGTGTCTAAGGTGAGGGGAGCAAGGCACACAAGGCTCTTGAGAGCCCTTTCCCTAGGGGTAAACATCTCTGTCAGCAAGAGTAGGGGATGAAGCAGCTGCAGGAGCTCCAGTTAACTGGGGAAACGCTACGCAGTGCTGAGATCCAGGGACAGCTGCAAGCGTGAAGAACACAGGACAGAGCGCAGGAGAACAAAGGTGATTAATTATCAGAACATGAACCAGCAGAAGAATGCAGCGAGAGAAAGAGAGGGAGCAATTCAAAGGAATAAAAAGCTCACAATGGTTTTCAGGAGGGATGTAGCTGGCAGCACGTCCCACAGTCAGTAAGTATGTGGGGGATACCCCCACCAACTCGCGCAGTTTGTTGTTGGAAAGCAAATCTCCTTTTCAGAGGATCCAAAGTGCAGGTGGGCAGCACTGGAATAGCAGGAGAAAACTGTGGRGAACACAAGGCTTCTGGTCCAGAGTCAACAGCAGCATGGAAGAAGTACCCCAACCATCTTCCAAAAAGGGTCCAGGTGCTTCCTGCAGGAAAACTGAAATGAGAGTCACAGAATCAGAGAATGGTTGAGATGGAAACACCCTCTGGAGGTCATTTTGTCCAGCTTCAGAGTCCCAGGAACATGTCCAGTTGGCAAAGTTAACTCTATTTCTTCCTCCTATGCAAATTAAATATCATAGGACAAAATATAAGTATTCAATCTGCAAATGAACAGTTACATTGAATGCTCAATGTATACAGCATTTTATTGACTGGACATATGTTACAATAGACAAACATATTACATATGCTATACAAAATATACATTCTCATGTGAAAAAAATATAAATAGACACTAGGAAATAGCAAGAGGGAACAGAAGCAGCTTTGCTCTTGCTGCCTTCTGAACCCTCAGTTCCTGTACTGGTAGTGCTTTGGCATTGATTGAGGAAATTGCCTTTTTTTACTGAAAAAAAGAAAAGCCACTTTGTCCCCTCTGCACCCCTGGAGCAATGGGGAAAGAAGATGCACGTGATTTTTTTCTCCAGGTCTACCAAACAAGTTTTTTCCACACTGCAGCAAAGTATCACCTGCTTACAAGCATCAGCTATTTACAACCAGCTTATGGACTTTAAATGCTCATGGAAGGATGTAAATGTCTTAGTTCAGGATGGCAGCTTTTATAGGCCGCTCTCTCACAGAAATCAGAGCAGCTTTAGCTGCAGTCTCTGACTGCCAGCACAGTCCCAGTGCAGACAGCAGAGATTTTAAAGCCCTGGTCCAGGCCAAGCAGGCCTCATCTACCTAATGGAAATTCCCTTACTCCAAGGAGTTGAACCCCAAATACTTTCAGGGTCTGGACCCCTGCAGCTGCACTGTGATGGATCTGTTTGAGCTCAGCTTCTCTGAAGAGAGAGGGAATGAAAGAAAAAAGAACAACTGTTTGCCAAATGGTGATGGGAGACAAAGCAGCAGGAGCAGGGATGCTGTTTTCCTGCTCCGGGGAATCATACATGCCAGCAACTCCGTGTCCCAGTAGCCTGAGTGACTGGCTGAGAAAGCAGCCCAAAGGGCTTTGCTGCTGCTTTGCTGCTGCTGTAGTTTCATGACATGACCTTTCTCATCTGGATTTAAATTGACAGTGTTGGGTCCCTGCAGCAGGGATCACTTTGGATTCAGAATAAGCAGTGTATCTTAAATGCTGACTGGGAAGAAAAAGCCTGGAGGAAATAAAAAGAGAGAAATTAACTTCAGGGGTTTTTTAAAAAATTGTATTAAAACATTTCACCTGTCAGAATCCAAGAATTTACACACCTGTGTTTCTCTCTGCTTTACTCAAAGGTCAAGGACAACTGGATCCTCTTCCCACTCAAGTGCTGGCTAGCAAAGCAGCCACACTGGCTTTGAGAGCATGGGAAGAGCCCTTGAAACAATTTGCTCATTTGCAACAGATCTGACTACTATTCATGTCCAAAGAGCTGTGGGAAGAACATCATTATTCCCAGTGTTTCCTCACTCATTTACTCAAATACTTCACCAGTCTCTAAATTCAGTTGCYATTCTGCACGACTACACCTGACACTTGAGTCACAAACCCTTCAGCCTAGGAATGGATCAATGGGAATTCTCACATACCTCCACTGAGCTGGGCCAAAAAGTGGTTTATATCTTTATAAAAATACCACACAGATGGTTTTACTTGGGTGCAGATCCTACAGCTCCAAAGCAGGCAGCAGTGACCAGGAAGGAAGCACCTCATTCTAAAGGTGTGAACACAGAGCACAACATACTCACTGAAAACCCAGGAGTCTTTTAACCCCTTCTACAAAAAGGGGCATTTTCCCAAAAGAAAGAACTTTTCAGGAAGTCTTTATGAATGTCATTGTTCTTCCTCATCTTGTCAGGCACATCTCACTGGAACTACCAAGTCTGAGCTTCCTCAGTCTCAGCAAGATTTTCAGTAGTGAGGGTTTCCCTGCATTGTATCATTTCTCACCTGTCAAATATTTAAACATTTTGACCACACCAAGATTTAGGGAACCATTAGTTCAACAATTTAGCCTGACATTTTACAACAGAAAAGGACAAGTGTTTCAAACTCCATACGCCTTTGGCTATGCAGAAGTAGAAAATCCACAGTACAGTTCACTAAGTCTTTATCAAGTGCTCTCCTGATTTACCTCATGCTTTTCATTATCACATTCTTTTTAGAAATTCACTGAACTGTCAGCTAGGAAAAATATGGAGATCCTCTCAACAGACACAATATGAAGCTGTTTTAAAAAGATAAAAGCTTAGATAAACCTTGAAATTCTGCTAATATCATGAAACGGATCAGCTTGCAGCCAGGTCAGCCAGGTGCATAGCTGTAGGCAACAATGAAATTCATCAATATCACAGTTCTACCACACAAGTAAATGCACTCCTTTTCAGAATGAAGACAGCTCTGTTTCCTCACAAATAAGCTTTTGGTCCCCCCAAGTCCCCCAATATGGCTTGATATGCAGCTGTCAAGAGTAACAGTATGATACATACTTTGGCATAATAAAAAATAATTTACATTACAGCCAACACATTCATATGTTTAGTGTATACAAAATACTTATAAATGCAAATTTGTTTACAACTAGAGTCCATTATTCATAGGAGAAAACAAGCCCCAAACTTAGACTGGTAACAGACACCTGCCAGCAGTCCAAGGAAGGAAAAGCTGGCCAAGGGTTTTATGCTTACAGTTCCTGGGGAATTCCATGAGGAGGTCCTGATGGTTTGCTTCAAAGAAGGCAAATCACTGTTCTTGAACTGCAAATTCTCTTGGGAGCTTTCCAAAGCATGCACCACCACAAAGGCTGCTTCCAGCATCACACAATCATGTTTTAATGCTGTTTTTGTAGATGGCATTAATTATCCACATGTTCTCTGGTGCATGTTCCCATTTTCCCATGGAGAAATCGCAGAAAAAAGGGCATGTGCCACCTCCTCCAAGAGAGCCCGACTGTTTAGTAACTGCAGACACATACACTGCAGACACATACGCGAGTGTCTTTGGCTGTGGGGTTAGTCCTGAGGTAGTAAACACAGTCAGTCAATCTGGATTTGCTTTCAAGGCTTTGTGAGTGTTTTACGTGGCTTCACTCTGGTCATGAATGTTCTGTGTCCTGTTATAATCAAAATTCTGCTCCTGAAGCCTGGGACAGGCTCTGGGTGACGCCTGGTCCCGGTCACTGCTGGCGATAYCATCGCTTTGGAGTGGCTGTGGGGCTTCACGGGCCAATGGATGGCGCAGGAATTGGGGGTGAGAGCAAGCCAAGTCTTTGCTGCCTCCCCACAGAGGAACCTGGAAGGGCTCTGAGGGAGAAAAATTAGAAGATGAACAGGAGCAAGTTCATAGAATCAAGGAATATCCTGAGCTGGAAGGCGCCCTAAAGGACCACTGAGTCCAACTCCTGGCCCTGCACAGACAACCCAACAAATTCCACCCTGTGCCTGAGAGTGTTGTCCAAACATCCTTTGAGCTCTGGCAGGCTTGGGGTCAGGACCATTCCCCGGGGAGTCTGTTCAGTGCCTGACCATCCTCTGGAGAAAGAACTTTTCCCGATACCCAACTCAAACCGCCCCAATACAACTCCAGTTGTTCCCATGGGTGCTGTCACTGCTCACAGAGAGCAGAGATCAGTCACACTCAGATTTGAGTTCTGTGACTCAGCAGCAACAATTGTTCTGAGCTGACTTTCTCTGGTTTTGAGAGTATATTTTACTGGATGCCCTCCTGTTCCAGCAATCTCTCCCAGTAACCAGAAACACACACAGTTCCAATGTGAATTTTTAAAAAGGTGTTCTGAAAGAAAGTCAACAGAAAAACAACCAATTTAGGGAATTCTTTGAACTTCAGGCCAGCTCAAGCAGAAAGGTTATTTGAATTTTCTATGTGAAGCTTCAACTTTTGTTTAATAGATGTCCTTGAAACATAAGCAATAATATATTCCACGAACTTAAACCTGCAAATTAAGAAAATCCATCTTTTTAACATCACCCTCTTCAATCTCTGGTACTGGATGCAAGCTGTTGTCTGCTGATGCAACAAGGGCATTTGAAGAACTAGTAAATAAACATCAGCTGCTCCACAAACGATGGGCACCTGAAGGATTAGCTGTGTGTCAATAGTGAAGGGCAGCAAAATGAAAGCCGAAGTTATCAGGGACTACAAAGAAACGAAAGAGGACACTCACCATTCATCTGCTGGGAGGAGATTTTCTTATCACTTTTTTTGTCATGGTTGGTAAGGAAGACAGGTATGTCTCTGTCTACTAGAAGATTATCCAGAGCACTGGTTTCATTCTGAGTGCATGCTGTGTACGTTTCCTTGGGCATCTGCACCATGAGACTTGGGAGTGTTTGATCCAGGGGATCCTCCTCAGTGATGAAGGCATAGGGACAGTACTGTCGGGCCCGGGAGTAGATGTTGGCATTGTCATAACAATCTGAGCAGATCACTAATGGCGCTGCACCACCTGATGAACACAGTGGAAGAATAACATACTCTCAAAAAGGATGAGGATGCCAGGTTTCCATAGGCTTTATGCCCTGATATGATCAGGGCATTATTACAGCAGCACAATCTGAAGGGCCTTTATACAGTTAAGGGGGTAACAGAGTACTCGGCTTGAAAGGTCACATGAGTAACGCCCCAGATTCCCCCCACCCAAATTCTCCAAAGCAGCACCCTTCGGAGGCTGACCAGGGGAACCATCGACATGTTCCCCTACTTTCAGGGGCAAAGGAGTTCCATGAAGGTCCAGCCAGCTTGAGAACCAGGCTGAAACAGCCTTGGGATCAAACCGGGATACCTGCCCACATCCATCTTGGACCTGACTTGTCCCTGCATGCCCACACACCTCCGAGCTGATGATAAACTAGTCACTGAGATGTGCTCCTTCTCAACTCCTTCCTGATCCAGTCTCTAGTGCAGTAGGACAGGACTGGAGGGATGGTAGACAGGTGTGAAAAACTTACACTGAGGATCAATTTCAAGCCAGCCTATACAATGCATAATGAGTCCTCAGCATTTTGATGAAAAAAAAAAAGCATCTCTGTAAGCTCAATGACACAAACATCCAGCAAAGTGTCCAAACMAGGTAGGAAAACAGTGCAGATCTCTTAGTTACAAATGTAAGCCAAGCAGATGTCTGGCAGAGGATGAATTTTACACCAAAGATAGAAGGCACAGCTACTTATCTTCCAAGCAAATTCTATTTCTATCTCTTCTGCCTGGGCTCTTGAGATGCAGAAGAAAAGAAACAGGATAAAGATCTACCTTGACACTTAAGCTGTGAGGATGAGACTGTGCATTGGCATCCTGGTAACACACCTTAGGGTTTGGCTTACCATCAGAGCCTTTGTGCAGGTAGCTGCCCGATGGAGGCATCAGCTGCTGATGGCTCCCTGCCTCCAAGTTACTGTAGCCTTCCTGAGGCTCAGACAGTGTTCCTTGGGAGGACAGGTAGCTGGGAATGTCAGCAGGTAGGTTCATTTCCTCTGCAAGGCAGAATTAACATGGGCAACGTTAAACAGTATGAACATTTCAGGGTATTGCTAGCACTAATCCTCGCACTAACAAGAACATCCAGAATTTCAACTTACATGCAGGTATCCTTTTTCTACCTCAGTAATTATAAATCCAGATGGCCAGTTCAAAGCTGACAGGACCAGAAGGAAAACTTACACCTATTATTCCAGGTCCTGTAAATATTTCTAAGTTTCTTCAAATACTTATTTCTGAGCTTTACTGTTTTCACTCAATGCGGGACAAATCTAGTGTATAAAGAATAGAATTAGCACACCTCTGGTGTTTAAAAGAACCTCTAAAATGGAAGAATTTGAGTAAATCCCTGAAGGGATTTTGGAAGGAAATCTTCAGTTCTTTAATCTTATCCATTTGTAATGAAGCCAGAAATTTCAAGTGTTTTGGATTAAAAACAGGACCAGAGAGTGTTGATTTGACACTTAGTACCTGTGTTAGTGATGCTGTAGTCTTCGTTCTTCCTCCTCATGTGATAAATGACAATAACCCACACCAAGGACGTTCCCACCACACAACACACGACAACAATAATCACGATCCCTATGGTTGTCCAGCCATCCTCCTCATGCACAATGCCACTCTGGGAAGAATCACAGTTGGGGGAAGCCAGGACATTTAGGTAAATGTGGCCACGCTCAGTCCCCAGAGTGTTGGACATGATGCACGTGTACTTCCCAGCATCCTCCAACCCTGTATCCACAATGATGAGGAGCTGATTTGCAGCAGCGAAGAAATGCCTCTCGGTGACTGTCAAAGGACCATCGTCCTTGGTCCAGTTGAGGCGAGGGGCAGGACTGCCACCAGCTATGCACTGCAGGACAGCAGTTTCACCTCGAGTCACTGTCCTGTCCTCCAGGGGCCTCATGAAGGAAGGCGTTTCTGGGACAAAAAGTGAAACTGTAAGACAATTTCAAAGAATCATGGAATCCTATAACAGTTTGGGTTGGAAGATAGATTATCCTGTCCCACACCCTGCCACAGACAGGGACACCTTCCACTAGACCAGATTGCTCCAAGCTCTGTCCAACCTGGCCTTGAGCACTTCCAGGGATGGGACAACCACAGCAGCTCCAGGAAACCTGTGCCAGTCCAATTCTAAATTTGGCCAAAATGTTAAAAGTCAGCATCTTCATAAAGTGCTGCACTCTGGAAGGAACTCACCTTCCACTATTACTCAGCATAGTTCACAGGATGCTTGGAAGGGACCACAGAGGGTCACCTGGTCCCACTTCCCTGCTCCAGCACGGTCATCCCAGAACACATGGCACAGGATTGCATCCAGACAATTCTGGACTCTGGAACATCTCCAGTGAGGGAGACGGCACACCTTCCTCTCTGTGCAGCCTATTCCTGCACAGTAAAGTTCTTCCTCACATTCTTGTAGGACTTGCCATGCATCAGCTTTTGCCCATGGCCTCTTGTCCCTTAATCATTGCCGAGCACCATCAAGCACAGCCAGGTCCATCCTCTGACCCTTCTCTGCAAACACGGACAGGCATTGATGAAGGCTCCTTTCCTTGATGTTGAATAGCCCCAGTTTCCTCAGCCTTTCATAGAATCAGGGAATCATTTAGGTTGGAAAAGGCCTCTAAGATTTTGAACTCCAACCATTCACCATTTCCTAATAAGAGTGACGCTTGAGTCCCTTCATCATCTCCATAGCCTCTGCTGGACTTGCTCCAGGAGCTCTGTGTCCTGGAGTCCAGAACAGTACTCCAGATATGCCTCACAAAGGCTGAGGAGATGTGCAGGATCACCTCTCTGACCTGCTGGCAGTGCTCTTCCTCATGCATCCCAAGATCCCACTGGTCTTCTTGGTGGCAAGTTTGTTACCTGTGATAAAATTTGCTCTAGGGCAACATAAATTACCCGCCAAATCTACACAGCTAGACTGATGTGCCCCTCAGCTTGCTTCAAAGAGCACACTAACTCCAACTCCACTGGGCAGCTCTGCAGCTYAGCTTTAAAGCTTCACTGTGTAAACATCACACCAAGTGCTGCTCTTTTAATCTTAACTTCATTCTCCAGGGTTTCGACTTGCTACTTACAGCTAAGCTACACTTCCACTGCAGAGATGCAGGGATCCATCTGCCAGCACAGGCCAGCCACACTTACCCAGCACAGTGAGGGTAGCATTTGCTGAGAGTCCCCCTGCGATGTTCTGGGCCATGCAGCTGTAGATCCCCATGTCTTCCATCTTCACATTTGCAATGAAGAACACATCGTCCTCAGGCATGACATGCATCCTCCTCTCTCTTGCAGCAGGGAAGTCTGTGCCACCATCCTTCTGCCAGGAGATCTGTGGCGGGGGGTGGCCCTCGGCAGCACACTCCAGCCGGGCCATTGCCCCGGTGCGGATAGTGAGATCCATGGGGGTTTTCAGGAAAGAAGGGAGCTCTGGGTCAAAGGGGACATCGATTCAGCATTTACAGTACCACGTAAAATGCAGCAAAAGCTCCACAGCAGAGAGAAAATCTGAAAACACATCTGAAACACTCCGTGAAAGAGAGGGACAGAGACTTCTGAAGAACTGCACAATTTTTCAGTAGTTATTTTTAAGAGCCTTTCTTCCAAATTTTAAATACAGTATCTACAGTGTTCATAGAATCATGGAATGCTCTGCGTTGTAAAGGACCCTAAAGGTAATATATGCCCAGTGGCAGGGACACCTTCCACGGTCCCAGGTTGACTCCAAGCCCTGTCTAACCCAGCCTTGAACACTTCCAGGGATGGGGCAGCCAGAGCTTCTCTGGGCAATCTCTGCCAGGGTCTCCCCACCGTCACAGGGCGGAATTTCTTCCTAATRTCCAATACAAACATACTCTTTTTTCATTTAAAGCCACTAAGTTCATCTATCATGATGAACATTTCTCATGGTAAGAATCCAGGGAAAAGTCTTTGCCACATTTTTCTTCCCTGCTAACAGGGAAGGTAAGTTTTCATTTCATCACTTCTGCTCTGAGGTACTGTGATAATGGGTCAGTGATCTATCTTTTTACCTCCCCTTCCCTCAAAATAAATGGAATCATGACAGCTAAAAGTAAAAAGACTACGCTTTTGACCTTTCAGAGTTTTTAACAGTTATCTTCAGTTGAGTCTTCCCCGCTTTTACAAACGTGGGAAAGGTGCTGAGTTCTGAGGAGACAGTAGAGGGAGCTTTTAGTTTAAAGAATTCCAGTACCAATTAACTAGATGAACAACTAACTATGTTCTAATAAAGCACAGGAGATACTTGCCACTTTCAAAAAGTGAACAGAGACTTTTCATCCATAAAAAAAATCAAACTACTTCTTTCCAGCTTTTTTAAAAATGTGTGATACATCTAAATCCCAGTGAGATTTGGAAGAGTATTTTGGGTCAGCTTTAGTACGAAATAAACTTGTACCTAATTAAATGAAGTTTTAGGTTCAAGGTGTTCTTTTTTACCATTATCACTTACCATTGACAGTCAGCTTGGCTTTGCTGGAATAATTGGAGCCGAAGTGATTGGTGACAATGCACTGGTATTTCCCCTCATCAGTGAAATTCACATTGAAGAGGTGTAGTACAGTGGTATATTCCAGCACCTCCCCACTTTGCTGCTGGTACCTGGCAAAATTCTCAACCTCTGCATCATAGAGAACCTCGCTGTCTTTGCGCCAGGCCGTGGCCATGGGTGAATCACTGCTGCTCACAGCAATGCACATCAGGGTCACATTCGAGCCTCGCAGGGCCACTGTGGTCTCTGGGTGGACTCTGATCTGCGGTTTGGGGAAATKATCTGAAAAGCAAAGCACCAAGATTAGCTACTTTCCTCTTAACTTGAATTAATATTGCAAGGAAACTCACTCAAAAGACAATGTAACCAAAACCAAAACTTTGGGAACAGATGTCATGCTTGAGGTGCACAAATTCAGCTCTTTTGAGCTGGAAACCAAGCTGTGAAGAAGGCAGAAGAATCAGCATTGAAACCAGTGTGGAAGTGTGGTGCTGAGCAGCCGTGCCTCTGTTCCAGCTGTCCGAAACTTGCTGTATTTAGATCACACTCAAAAGCCCTGCTCAGCTGAAGAGTTAGGCCATTTTATGAACGACTGAGACTTACTTTCAAATAGTTTAAATATCCTGAAGAGCCCTTAAGTTCTACAAGTACAAAGCATAACAAGCTGGCAGCTCACTATCTCAACCCACTTGATCAGAGTGACTTCCATATCCATTATTTCAGCAAAGACACACAAAGAGCTCTGTCAGACACCACCGTGGTGGTACTGGATGGAAAAGCAGGTGCTTACACCTACATGATTACTGCTGCAGCCTTTGCCACCAAAACAATGAAGGAATTGCACATACACAAATAACTGTTAYGAGATTGCTCACCAGAAAAAGGGAACAATTCCAGGCCCACCACAGACTTCACCCACTCTGCCCAGACTCTGGGTAGAGTCTCAAACCACCATAAACATCATACATATGGAGAACCAGAAAATGTGCCAGAGCTTGAACTACTCGAATTTTTGCCCAGAGAAGCTGTGGCTACACCATCCCTGGARGTGCTCAAGGGCAAGATGGACAGGGCTTGGAGCAACCTGGTCTCATGGAAAGTGTCCCTGTCTATGGCGGAGGGTGGAACTGGGTCATCTTTAAGGTCCCTTCCAATACAAATCATTTTATGACTCTATGATATTCTGCTGGTATGGACAAGAACCAGGGAGAAAGTGTCAAACAGACCTTAGAAAGCTAAAGGTAGTCATAAGCAGGGAGAATTGAAGCAATTGAACCCATTTTGAACAGAGAGCTAAATAAAAAACAATGTGGTCTCAGCACTACTCCCTCGAGTTAACTTCACTGTTAAACATCACAAAACAGAGTGAAGAGAAGCAGAATTAAACCCCAAACTCACAGCTCTCAGGGATGTACATGGACCCACACAGGTGGGCAGTATGGCCAGGACCAAGTACCTCCCCAGCACTACAGCTTGATTTGCGTTACTGCATTTTCATATCGAAAGTCACTTAAAATACAAACCACAGACAAAGTCATCAGGGTCCACACTGAGAAGGCTTTGTCCTGCCAGCCACTCAGGGTGAGCACAGCTGACATTTACAGCCTGCAGCAAATGGCTCTCACTGAGCCACTGGGGCAGCCACTTCAACTGGCAATCACAGAGCAAACTGCTCGTGTTCAACACTCTGCAGAAACAGGGGAAAACAAAAGGGTGAGTGAAGTTTGTTTCACATGCTTACATGCGATTTCACACAGCAAAACAACTTAAAGCATATACATACAGAAACATCAGATTTACAGTATTATTTTAAATGCATGGGTATTATTATAGAATCTTAGCTATTTATGCTACAATCAGTCCCTCTACGTCAGCATTAAAACCTTACATTTCATTTCAATGCTGGAGAATATAACCTTGGAGTTTCAACTTCTTAAAAAAAAATCCCAAAAACACGAAGCCTATCTTTACAATTATCTCATCCCTCTTTAAAGTAATTAAAATGAATATAACACTGCAGAACAGTGTCATGTTTCAAGGTAAACACAGTTGCCATTATGAAACTAGCAGAAGCCTCAATTTGCATTTTAATGCCAGCTAATAAATAGGCCAAAAGTGATTTGTTTCATACAGGTATCAACTGTAGCTCACGTTCTCCGCTTCACAGAAAAAATGCCAACAGGAAACAATGATGGATCTCTTCTTTCCTACCACCTGCTTTCAAAGTTTCCTAAATACTGTGTATGAATGAGTGACTTAAGACAGTCCAGCATTTAACAAGAAGTGATCTGCCCTAAGCTGAAGCCAGTAATGGGGAGAGAGGCACCTAACAAGCCAGGATTCCATCCTGCTCTTTGCCTTTACATATCAGTGATTCCTCACTTTTAAAATACATCAGAGATGGCAACAAAAGTCTTGAACACATGAAATTGTCTCCTTACACTGGCAGACTAAATCCACCTGGCCATGGTTAACTAATGGAGTAACCATTTTAGACCAGATCACACAGCAGTCAGAGACTTTATCTCACAGAAAGGACTACATTACAGTAGGATTAGTCTTGGTATTCCTCGTTACAACATTCACATTACAATACTTCAGATGTCTGAGGACCACAAGAGTCTCTATCAGCTTAAACATCTATTGAGCACATGAAAAATATTGTCTCGCTGTGAATTTTAAACCCTTTCGCCAGCCCTCAAAATAGGAAGAAAAAACTCAGAATTTGCTAATCCCCCTGAGATTCCTGATAAATTATTTCTTTAGTTCACTGCCTACATGCAGTGCTGAGCTTGCTGCAAAACCACAGGATATGAAAAAACCAAATGGAATCGCAGGAAAAAATTAACTCCTACTAATTGCAACTAAGGAAATGCAGGTGATGATTTTATCAAACCTTAAATCTAAGGTTAAATATACTGTGACACACTTTGAGTTGATAATTTACCAGTGTTGTTGCAAACATTTCATGATGAGGGAAGATACTCCTCAGACAATTTCGGCCAACCCTACAATGGCTAAAGAATTTTTTCCAAGGTAGGGCTTGTAAAGAATCTCTAAATAATGTCATGTACTTACAGCTCCTTCAGCTCAGCCTGGGCAAAGGCATTTTCTTGTATGGACATTACTGCATTGTTGCTTAAATCTCTGTAAGTTAAGCAAGGAGCACAGTAATGAGTCAGTGTGATTTCATACAATGCCTTCAGTCAAATTCTTGAAAATCCGACAGAGAACACAACACTGAAGTTGACAAATAATTAGAAATTCTACAAATTAGAGTACTTACAGATATTCAAGTCCTTCAAGACCAGAGAATGCTTTTTTGGTAATTGACTTGATTTGGTTTCCTTGCAAGATCCTGAAAACAAAGGCCAAGAAACCAGTCTGAATGTCGATATGAGTTCACAAACAAGACACAAAAGAAGTTCTGTGTGATGCTTAACTACATTTTTTTTCTAATTCCAGCTGAGATAAAGAATTAAGTATATTTTTTTAGCCTAAAGGCCCAACTAATTTTCCCAAGAACAGGGGTTTTTTTCCTATTTTCAGCTTAAGAGATTTGGGCTAGACATGTGTCAGAAGATAATTTAAGTCAGGAGGATGAAACAGCAATATGCAGAACTTGCAAGTGAAGCGATAACTTCCTAATACCAACCTGCTACCACCAYGCAAATTCCTGGACTGCATCCTGACACCAGGCTATTTGTTATAAGCAACATCTCTGGCTACACAGGATGGAACTTCCTACAAAGCACGTGGCACTGGATGAAAAGTTCACAGTCTAAGTACTGAAAAGTTTGTTAATGCAATAGTGTTTCACATTTGCCCAGAAATACTTTGGGCTGTTTTTTTGACAAGCAGTAATTTTTACCAAAACTAAAGAAGCACAAAAAGCGATAAACATCACACAGAGGGAGTGAGGTATTCAATAAGTGCAGTCAAATGCATTATGCTTGATCTCATCAAATTGGTGMTGTACAGGAATCCAGTGTTACATGGATCCAACACTCCTGAACAAGGAAAACCCAGGCCTATATCAAGAGGTTGTGGCACGCAAGTGGAAACACTGTGAGAAAGGCTTTCTGCCTCATGTCATTGATTTACTTCATCTTTTGCACTCTCCGCCTGTGCATGCCTGGGAGTGCTGTCATTCCCCTAGTTTGTAATACATACAGTTTATCCAGCCTGCCGAGTCCCACAAAAGCTTCATTTGCATCTTCTATGGCCCAGGAGATCTCATTGTTCCGCAAGTCCCTGCAGGAGAAGACACTTCTTAGAAAGAATCCTCAGAACATCATCATGACCAGGGCTAGTGGTGAGCTGGGGAAGACAAGCCAGGTATGGGGCCCACCTGGAAGGTCTCAAATCTTCTACAAAATAAAGCTTGTCAGGAGATGAATATTTCACTTCAGAGGTAAAAAAGGGAAAACTGTTCACRATCAGTGCTGCAACCAGAACCACAAACAAATTCTGCAGAACAACTTCTTGATGTGGCATTTAAGGAAAGTCCCGGTCTAACCAGCATTTGTCATGTGATGGACTATTTGCCAGCAGCTGGGAGAGTCTCTAGAATCAAGTTGGTTCATGTAACCAATACACAAACAGCATCAATCTTCACGAGTAACAGGCTTATACCAGCATTAGCATATTAAGGGATTATGCACAGGTTACAGTGCAGGCCTGCCAAGGTGGTGGATTTTCAAAATGAAGTTGATATTCTGCTCACAAATCTTGTTATCAGCTAATGGGATTTCTGATTGACCTCAGCACAGCACTTCAGCCCCTCATGGAGAAGAGACATCTAAACAGCAAAAACAATAAAGCAATATGGTCTGGAGAGAGTTAAATGCTTTTTAGAGAGAAGATGAAATTCACTTGTATTTTCAGCCTGAATGGCACAGACTGAGCCAAGAGCATTTGTTTTGATACCACCGCGCACAGACAGGAGCRTGTTTAAAGAAAATCACAGTAACAAAGAACAGTTTGCACTGTGTTTTGCTAGATATTCTATGCAATAGCTAGATGAAGCTTCCAAATGAGCCAACTGACAAAAAACTAGCTGCATATACAGGCAACTAACTGTACATATCACTCATATAAACACCTCTTTTCCTGTGTTAATAGGGGAAAAATTAAGTACGTATTTTCACTTATGCGAGATTGTAAACTGCGTAGAACACCAYGGTGGAAGAGACTGGGATCAACCTCCAGGATACCATCAGTGGTAGCACACTATTTTCTTATTTTTCTTACTTTGATATACAGAAGTCTTGTTAAAGCCACACACAACAGTCATTTCCACAATTTACATTTATGCACTTGCAAGTTCAGGATAAAAAGAAAAGAATTTTCTACTCCATGCATCGCAAGGTCTGAACAAATATGGCCTTGAAACTTGCTCAAATTAAATCATTTCCTCTTTGAAAATTATTCAAGCTAAGGTACCCAACATTGAGCTGAGCTAATAATGACTAGAAGAAGAAGAATAGTATGCCAAATTTATTTCCAAGTTGCTAATTCTTGTGATTTAAAACACATTTCTATAATTATCTCAAAGTCTGCTTCCAGATGTTAGACCGTGAGTGCTGGAGAATATAAATGCCAAACTGCTCACAATATTATGAAGTGAATAACGTAGTAATATGCAAAGCTTCAGAACTTCAGTGCTTATTCTCAGATACATCTGTAATCTTAATTTGCAGCTAATGTATAGTTTATAATTTATTCTTCTACATTGCAGAGTGGCAGGGACTGAACATACAGAAATATTTGCACCAGCCATAGCACTGAACAACCACCACACAACCAACAATGGAACTAATCTCAGAACCACACAGCATCTCTTGTTTTTTGAAGTATTTTTACACTCCACTACTCAGACCACTCAGCAAAACGAGTCAGCAGCCCAAAAGAAAAGCCTGCCATTGTGTGAGTGAGGAGTTGGTTCCTCACGCCTGGCTGGGCACTAATGTCCAGAGCCCTGTTAATCACCACTGCCCTCCATCCTGCACATTCCAGCCCCAAAGCAAAGGGCCAGGCCCTCAGCTGTAGATGCCCCTGAGAGGCCAAAAAAATCTATTAATTAATCTGCTCTTGTTCTTTTTCATGCTACTCTACATCTAAGAAATTAGGTTTAATTATTTCATTAAAAGGCTGCATTAGGGTTAACAGAATATGACTGCTTACATAAATCTCTCTGGTGAGTTTGTTTATTTAAGCATTTATTTAATGAAGTGACAGAGGGGTTTTAAACTTTCACTCCTTTCTCAAGTACCGTTGCTTAGGATAATTACACCTGTTCAAATCTACTTAGGACGGGACTGGGTCTTCTCAGAAATATTCAACAGCTGCAACGAAAGGTCCTGGCAAGTGCAAAGCTGTGCCTTCAACAGCAAGAAGCAACTCTACACCTCCTGTTATGTTTGTGAGGTCAGCACATGAGCAGGGCGGGCTAAACCACACTTTCTGCAACACCAAAGGGTTCAGCACTTGGTTTCTGAGGTTACAAACCTAAGGAAACCCTCTGGAATAAAGAGCTCCAGGCTATTTGCTCCCCACTGGGCATTTACACAAGCTATCCACACCTCTCACAACCAGCAGGACACACATCTGAGCACTCAAGGTCAGCAAGTCACTGTTTCTTACTGCCTCTAAAATTCAGTGGTTGGTTTGTTTTAGCTGGGCTGGAATTCTGCTGCCTTGGCAAGCCAAAAGGTTATAAGACCTACTACACCTGCACGCAGGACAGCATYAACAATGATCTCCAGGCTTCCACAGTGCAATATCCATTGTCTCTACTTCCAAAAGCTCCACTTAAACTGAATTTTCCATTTGCAGTTTTCCGTACTTACAAGGTTTGAAGATTTGTCAGACTTCTAAAGACACCATCGGCAATGTGACTGATACGATTGTCACCCAGGTTTAGTTTCTCCAGTAAGCCAAGTCCCACAAAGGCAGATTCCTTGAGGCGAGTGAGCTGATTGTACGACAAGTCTCTGGAAATATTCAACACACACTTTAAAGGCAAGTAGGGCGATAAATTATTAAGATACTATCTGACTTGATTAACTATTGTGTTTTAATTTCTCTAACAGAATACTTACAAGTAAAATACAGCATTACCATGGGCCTAGTAAGGAAATGGAGTACTTCCTTTGGCACTTAATTCTTGCCAATCTATAATTGCAATATTTCAAAAATCCCCARTGAATAGCAGCCCAGGACTTACAGCTCAGCAAGGCTTTGGCAGAATTCCCATGCATCTGGACTGATCCTGGTGATGGAATTCTGGCTAACATAGAGTTGTTGCAATGTCCGCAGCCCATACAACCAGCCCTTGTTAACTTCTGTTAAGTTATTATGTTCCAGTTCTCTAATGAATTAGAAGCAAAGACATTTGTCAAATAGATAATCAATGAAACATCTTCGTAAATACAAAATTTCACCCCATGGATCTCAAAACGATTTACTAACTTTAAGCCTTAGGCAATACATACAAATCATACAAAATCGTGATTCTTTCAATCCCACTGAAATAAAATAGTGAATTAAAGTATATGAAGAACTGGGTAACACAGCACCAGCTGCACAGATCCACTGGCAGAAACAAAACTATAATCTCTAGTCTCAAAAATAACTTTTTTAAAATTAAGTACTTTGCTAACACTGCATAACCTACTTGTGCTCATTCTGTCAAAGTCACAAAGGAAAGAACAATCCCATGTTATGGGGACTGCAAACGAAAACTAGCAAAAAATGACTGCAGAGGCAAACATTCTTGATCACTAAGTGGGAAGAAGCTGGGAAAAAAAGGACCAATATAATGGAATGCCAAGACTGGTCTGTGTGGAAATGGACCTCAAAGATTATCCAACTCCCTGCCATGGGTAGGGACACCTTTCACTAGACCAGGTTGCTCTAAGCCTCATTGAACCCGGCCTTGAACACTTCCAGGAATGGGGAATTGTATCTTTCAACTTTTGAAGTAACCAGACATGACATAAAAATAGTAGGAAAATACTCTTTTCCCATGGTTTCACAAAAATCTAAGCATAGACTCGATGTAAGGGAAGCCATACAGGACACAACCCTCCAGAGCCATTTTCTTTTTGCTAAACAAATTCCACAACTAGGCATACTCACAATTCCTCTATATTACCCAGGCCAAAGAATGCTCCATCCATTAGTCTGCTAATCCCATTGCGCTGCATTTTCAAGGATTTTAAGGATTCCAGTCCTTGGAATGTAAGACTTTCCACTATTTTAATCCGGTTCCTTTTCAATTCCCTTTTATAAAGATAACATTCAAATATTAAGACACCTTGCAACAAGCACCACTGTGTGAAAGTCAAGAACTTGTGAGATTAACAGCTCAGCTGTAAATGATGTTTTGACATTTTCAAGACTGTTACTTACAGAAACTGCACATGAGGCAATCTGAAGATCTTTGGTGGAATCACACTAATCCTATTTCTGTTCAGTTTTATCACCATTAGTGAGCTAGATAAATTATCAAGGCAACCTGCTTCCAGAGTAGTTATTCTGTTGTTACTCAGATTCCTAAGGAAGGAAGAGAGAAAGAGGCCATTCAGAACATAGAGCATTCGATGAACACAATAGCACAAGCAGCTCAGAGGAACCACTGACTAACAGAACCCAAGGTCCTTGCATAGTCACATGAGAAACGTGAATTCTGGGATACCAAGTGAAATCCTTTTTCCCTAAGGAATCAGTGTGAGGAGCTGATTTTTACTGCACGCCCATGTTTCACTTAAGATATGGCTAACACAATGTCCAGAGTGATCTACTCAAACGGGGCAGAAATTATCCCATCACTGATGGCTTATGCACCTGCACTTTGACAACAGCAGTTGTTATTTTCTATGTTATTTGGGAAAATACAATACAGATTGAAAAGTATTTTATTTCAAGGACATCTGTAGCTCCATTATGCACTGCTACCAGTTCAAAGCTGTGTAAGGACGCCAACTTTAAGACACTAACTTAAGAGCAGATGAGGTCTCCAACATTATCATTATAGAGCCAGGAATGCCAGACCAGTAGCCCACTCATACTTACAGGTACTTCAGTTGCATTCGTGGAAAAGAAGAGGCTTTAATTTCTGAGATAAGATTAGAACTAAGATCTAGATTTTCCAATGAAAGGTAGACCTGGAGTTGCTCAGCATTTATTTCTGGAATGGTATTGTGCACCCTGAAAAAGATCAGCAATAAACATGATAATCAAAACATGTCATCCTTCCAGTTGCACAGCTGAAACAGCAACAGTATCAGTGAGCCTCCTGAATAGGACATACACAACACACTTTCAAAAGTGCTAACTCCTAAAGCAATAGTGCAAATCCAAGAGCTATTTGGCACTTTGACATATGAATAGATTGAAATTCTGAGGCCTACAACTGAGTGGATTTTYGTTGGAAGTGTCTTTTCCAGACTGAATCCCTCCCCTTCAAAGCAACCTCYGTGCATTTTATTAGTAAGTTAGGGTGATTTGATTGTATAACTGATCTGTATTTCTTTGAAGAGTGCTTACATATTCCCTGATGCACTTTACATGAGCAGTATTTCAAGAAAAGAGATGTTTTCTTACAATTGGATCTCACAGCTCTCCCATTTGTTAAACAAGAAAAAGGCAGATTGTATTACTTACAATGAGAGAAGGGTTATATTGGAAGTTGTTTCTCCAAAATACGGAATTTCACTTAGCTCATTGTAATTCATTTTCCTTAAATAGAGGGGAAAGAAAATTACTGACACTTCAAAGAGAAGAAAACCCCTTCTATACACAGTAGAAATAATYGATATTAATGCATTTAACAATTTTACTGTATTAATAACACTTAGTAGCAGACATAACAGATTTCCCAAGAACTTAAATACTAATACTTTGAACAATATAAACAGTGAAATGTGCTTCTGTCATTTTCATGGATACTGTTACTTCTCTTTCAATAAAATCAGCTATAGCCAAAACAAACACATCTTATTTCTCTTTAAAAATATCCGTCATTTGATCTTTCATGAAAAAGATTACTGCTCACAACGCAACAGTTTTATATATAAAATCTGCTGTCAACATCTATTTTTAATTAACTTGCACAGAATATTTCTGCAAGTCAGACCAACTATCTTGACATGCAATGAAACATTCTAATTAGAATTAGGTAGAATATCTTTTGACTTTATCCGCATGAACAACTTACACTTCTTGCAGAGTATGGACAGACAAACCAATGCTCCAGTTAGATGATAACAAATGATTATGACTTAAATCTCTAGATAACAGAGAAAAAAGTTGTTTAGCTCCTGGAATAATAAAAAAAAAACAAAACCAACAAGCTTAAACCAAGTATGCTTTATACAATCTGAACTTTAAAACTGTATTTATGTATGTTACACAATTGCTCCTTCACTACAGAAAAGAGCTTGCTCTAGTGGCAGTGGCCACTCACAATAAAAACCTACATAGTTCTATTTCTGTTTGAACCAAAAAGCTTTTTGTTAAAGCTTCTTGAAAGGAAGATTGTACTTAGCCAGAAAATTTTTCCTTTAACCCAGAGCTTTATAAACAACACTTGTCCTTTACAAGATGAAAAAACTTTGCAGAGACATGAGAGCAATTTCTTACAAAAATGCTGCCCCAAGGGGCAGCTCTGATCTCTGCTCTCTCTGAACAGTGACAAGATCCAAGGGAATAGCTGGAGCTGTGTCAGAGACCTGTGYGAACACTATTTAGCACATTGTCTTATTAAACACTTGGGAGCAGAGACTAAGGGTCTCCGGCTTTCAATTGCTTTGTGAGGTTTTTATGGATAAACAATGACAGCAAATGTCACGGGGAGTCCACAGTGATTTAACTGAGGGAAAAGGAGAGTGTCACTGAGTTGCACGGCAGCAGTGGGATGCTGAGGAAACCAGAAGCAACAGGAAGTACCACAATACAGCTGAGGTTGGTGCTTGAAGGAACACTTCGAAGCACAATCCTAMAGGACCATGTTCTAAAGCCCGACTTCAAATAACGTTAAGTCCTGGATTGAATGGCATTAGTAAGTGACTTATTAACCGCAACCTGCCCGTGTTTTCTCTCACTTGTTGCCATCACAAAGTAGGGCAAGACAAATGTGAAACTGCGCCTGGGACCCCGGCACACGGAGCCGGCAGGGCCAAACCCTCTTTCTCTCCGTGGTGCCGCTGCAGCCGCTTCGSCCCGGCCGCTGCACCTGAACGAGCCAAACGCCACTGCCGGGGCTGCTCTGCCCGCAGCGCTCGAGGCTCCGTGCAATGTCCCGCGGACCAAATCAATYAGAGTGGAAAAGACCTCCGAGATAATTGAGTCCAACCGATGACCAAACAATGACTTGTCAATCAGACCATGGCACTGAGTGCCACGTCCAGTTTCTTGAACACCTCCTGGGACTGGGACTCCACCACCTCCCTGGGCAGTCCCGTCCAATGTCTAATCATCCTTTCTGTGAAGAAATTAGATGTCTAACCTGAATCTCCCCTGGCGCAATTTACCATTATGTCCTCTCGTCCTTTTGTCGTTTGTTATCTGGGAGCAGAGCCCGACCCCCACCTGRCTGCACTCTCCTGTCAGGCTGTTAGAGGCATAAGGACACCGAGCCCCAGCCCCGCCGGCCCGTTCAGCCCGGGCCTCGCACCGCCCCCGCCGCCGGGCCCGATCCCGCACCCTCGTCCGCGCCAGGCCGAGACGTCCGCACAGCCCGCCGCCCGTTCGGCCCCGCAACCCCGCCGCGCTCACTCACAGCCCCGTGGTGCCGGCGGGCAGCGGCGGGATCCTCCGTGGGCCCGGCCCGCTGGGCAGGCGCTGCCGGCTGCAGTCCAGCAGGCCGCGGCGGCACGAGCAGGGCGCGGCGCAGGGCTCGGCGGCGCCTGGCCGAGCACACAGCGTTGCCGCCGCTAGCAGCAACGCCAGCGGCAGTACCCGGGGCAGCGCCCAGCGGCCGGCCCGCGCGGCCGGCCCCGCTCCCCGCATCCCCCGGCCCGGCCCGGCCAGGCCCGGCCGCGCCGCCCCGCCCGGAGCCACCGCAGCGCGCAGGCGGCGAGGGGCGGGGCCACGCCAATGGACGTGGGGGCGGGGCCAAGGGGGAGGAGCCATCGCGGGCCACGCCCGATTCGCGGCGGTCAGTCGGCCTTGCAGCCAGCGGGGGGCGGGGCCAGGAGAACGCGAGGCCACCTCAAGCCCCGCCCAGCACCGACCGCACCCGCAAGGCGGAGCCCTCTCGGGGGCGGGGAAAGGGGCGGGGTCACCGCGAGCGAGGGGGCGGAGTCGCCGCAGCCCCGCCCCACCCCGATCGCCCCTCGGCTGGCGGGCGGCGAGGGGCGGAACCAACAGTGGGCGGGGCCACCAGCAGCCCTGCCCCGCCCACAACTGCAGTTCGAAAGGGCGAGCGGCGGGGCCGGGAGAGGATGGGGTGAGCACAAGCTCCACCTGGCCCCGATGACAACCTTAGCTTACAGAGGGTGAAGGTGGGGGTTATTGGGACCTTCGCTTCATGCGTTAGCAACGTCCGTTCTGTCAATGGGTGCCGGTATCTCCGGGAGAAGTCAGAGGATGGAGCTGGCTCTGGTCTGTGGTGCCCGGCAATGGGAACAGAGGCCCCGGGCAGAAATTGATGCACAACAAAATCGCCCCGAACGTGAGGAAGAACTTCTCTGCTATATGGGAACAGATTGCCCAGAGCGGGTGTGGAATCTTCCGCACTGGAGATATCCAGAACCGTCTGGACTCAGTCCTATGCCATGTGCTCTGGGAGGATCCTGCTGGAGCAGGGATGTGGAACTGCAGCCTGTTGCTGCTCGTACATTGGCAAGGATATAAAACCATTAGTGAGTGTCCAAAGGAGGGCTATGAAGACGATGCAAGATCTGGAGGGGCCATATGACGACTGGCTGAGATCACTTGGTTTGTTCAGCCCAGAAAAGAAGAGCTTGAAGTCAGATCTCTGGGGTCTGCAGCTTCCCCCGTGAGACCAAGCAGAGGCGTAACTCCAATCTCTGCTCTATGCGACCAGTGACAGGAACCAAGGGAATGTATGGAGCTTTGTCAGGGGAAGGTTAGGCTGGATATTGGGAAAAGGTTCTTCCCCCAAGAGGGTGGTTGGGCACTGGAATGGGCTCTCCAGGGCAGTGGTCACCAAGGCTGCCAGAGCTCAAAGAGTGTTTGGACAACGCTGTCAGGCAAAGGGTGGGATTGCTGGGGTGTTTGTGCAAAGCAGGAGTTGGACTCAATGATCCTTCCATTGTGGCTCCCTTCCAACTCAGGATATTCTTTACAATCTGTGCAAAAAGGCCCAAGCAAGGACAGGGATGTTGCCAGGTGGGAATCTGCTGCTTGCATCAGGGTGGCCTCTGGCAGTGCTTTCCCCAGCTGACCTGGGCCACAGGYTCAGAGGGAGCTCAGTTAGGAGAATTAGGAATCCAGGGCTCAGCACAGGTCTCTCCAACAATAGTTCCCAATGCAATTTGCATTTATAAGATTATTGCCATGGCAGCAGAAATTTGCATATTAATAGTAGACCTTCTTAGTTGCTGAGCTGCTTCTAATATCTTGGGGCAGAAAGGAGCCTGCTGTGATTCACCGAGCTACAGCTGCCACTGCAGGGGCCCTGCCTTCTCAGTCAATTCCTTAAAGCTCTCTCTCCTCCTTCTGCCAGTCCCAGGCCAGCGCAGCTCCAAGATCTGTGCAGTTGCCCCCAGTATCCATTTAGATGTGACATCCCTCTGGGGTTCCTCTGGGATGATGCCTCTGGGATCCATTTGCCCATGGAGGGCTAGTGCTATACACAGAACACCTCCTGTCTGCCCAGGCTTGCCCACAATTCCCTCCAGATGCTTCAAATCCCRGTTCCACTGACTGTGCTAAAATGGGCACAAGCACTTGCAGAGCATGAAGCAGTGGCACACTCAGGGTTACAACTGAAACGACCCTACTGGAGATAATTCCAGCCCAGCCAGCTGCACCAGTGTGGTTTAACATAGAGGAGGCACTCGATCCCGTTCCTGTCTCTGGCTGGGACCAGAGGGATGGACTGGTCAGGGACTCGCCACCAAAGGACTTGAACACCTCCCTGAGATGAGGAGTCTCCCCTCTCCCCAGCACAGGTCGATCCTGCATCGCAGGGCAGGGGCAGGAGGCTTTGCTGCAGCCCAGCCCTGCTCCTCTAGCCACTCTCGTCTCCCAACACCTGGACTGCTTCCCTGAGAATGCCGAGGGAAAACCTGGGATCCTGCTACAGCAGCAGGCCCCCGCCCTTGCCAGAAGCACCCCTGGTCTGGGCACGTCTCCTTGGCTGAGTCACAATGGAGACTCAGCGCATCCCATTGCTGTCTGCAGCTTCCACTGTGGGTCCTTCCCGGCGAGGCTCCAGCCCAGCACAGTTCCCTCCTTGCGGGACTGAGTCGCAGCGTGGGAAGGCTCGGGCTGTGCTGGAGCCGGGTCTTCGCCACTGGATGGCACACGAGCCCCAGCAGAGGAGCCTGGCTGGTCTCGGGGTGCTGACCAAAGCGCTGTGGGCTGCGGGCTGGCGGTGTCGGGGGTGCTGAGGGCTGCGGGGGTGCCAGCAAGTGAACCAGGTGCTGGGCTCTCAGCCCCTCGGCTCTGCTGCCTCCATGCCACCCTCGGGACTACTGCTGACTGGACTGGAGTGGGACTCTGACCTTGGCTGAACAGTATCGGCTGCACCTTTGGCTGGGTGTCCAGCTGCTCCTCCAGAGCACGCAAATTTTCTTCCTGATCAGCACTCCCTCCAGATAAGAGTGAGCTTACCTCCCTGCTCCTCACAGGCTGGAAATTCAGGGAGGTTTTTAAACCTGCTGGCCTTGACCAGCACGAACTGAAACGAGCTCTTTATTTAGTATTGTCCTTTGTGCCAACGACTCTGCTGGAAGGCAGAGGCTGCCAGCCTGGCAAATGACTCACAATAAAAACTACTCGCTCCCCAAAATCCCTGATGAGCCCCTTTTCTATCTGTCCCTGTCACCCTCTCAGCCCTGTACACTCATCAGCACAGAGGCACCTCTGCATTCCWTTCCTCACCGGGATGTCTGCACCAGCATGCAGGCAGTGCAGGGTGGCCTTATGCTGTGGGATGCCCAGTGCTGTGGTGCTGGGATTGGCACAGTGCTAGACTGCCCAGGCTGCGGCTCCCCTGTGGGGTCACCCTGCTCTGGCTTCCCCCCTGGTGCTGCCACCTCATCAGCTATGAGGTCCCTGTGGCCTGGCTGTGCCTAGAAAGGTGAGCARGCAGCCAAAGGAAGGGACAGGTTGTCTCTCTGCTGCCCTTGGCCCCATTGTTCTCCCACGGCCACTGTGTCAACAGGAGCTGGAAGAGGAAATCGGGGCTAAGGAGATGCCAGGACCCCTGCTGCTCAAGGAAAGATAAGGAGGGAGGGGGCATTTACAAGCTGTTCAGGGGTGGCGGATGCAGGAGGTTCCCCCGTGGTGCAAGAGGGGGACAACATTGTGTCCCCAGACAGCCTTTCATGCACCATGCTGAGCGTGGGCTGTGACTGGGGATGCATGGGGTGCTCAGGTGATGGTTTAGGCCAGATGTTGAAAAAGATGGAAGTGATTTGCCTGAGAAGCTTTGGAGATGCCTGGCACTGTGGGGAGAATTCTATCACCCACAGACCCTCCTCATGGCACAGAGCTGGCTGAGCTCTGGCTGGGGTTCTTGGAATGTCCCTGTCTCCTCCAGTCCATTCCCAGGGTGTCTGCACCATCCCAGTCCCAAGGGGTGGGATACAAATGGACCGTCCTTGTGGTGTCTGCCCATGGTCCCTGTATCTAGGGCTCTACACTTGTCTGGGAGGAAGGGATGAGTGCCAGGGAACTGGTGGCACTGCTGTCTGCCCCAGGCACCACTGTGATGCAGCAGTCTGCTGTGCACCTGCTCCAGGCACGGGACGCTAAACTCCCCACATCCACTCTGCCAACAAACCAGGATTGGACTTCGGACTTTGAACTTCAAAGGGGTGACGGAGTCCAAAGAACAGCAGCCTTTGCTGGCCTGGCCAGGGCTCACAGATTTTGCTTGGAGCACACRTGGGAGGCACCCCACTGCCACAATCTCCTTCCTGGCTCCTAGTCCATTGGTTTGGTGGCCAGTAGACCACCACTCTGCTATCTGCTGATGGGCAGCAGCCGAGAAGTTGCTGTGCCAGTGTCCTGGAGTTCTCCTAGTGCAGCAATTGCACGTCTTTGCAGACACCCTTTGTCTGGTAGGGAGCTGGAGCCAAGCCTTAGCACTGCCAGCCATGTGTGCTGGAGCTGGGCATTGGTGCCTCATCCATCCAGGGCTGCAGGTTTGCAGTCATGTCTGCTCAGGGCCACATTCGCAATGTTGTCAAAACACAAAACATCTCCACAGCCTTCCAGGTGCCTCAAATCTACACCCTCYTGGTCATCAAGTGCTTCCCAGGAACAGTAAGGAGATTTCCAGGACTGTTTTTCCAGGGAAATCGCTGCAACACAATAGCATCTACAGATGGAGCCCAGCTTGGCTCCACTGACATGAGGCCAACACCTACAGCCCTTCCTCCCCGCAGTTTGTTTTGTTTCCTTTCAACATTTATAGGTCAGCTGGAGTCAAGAGAGCTAATGAGCAGGAGCATGGCCCCAGGCACTTCCCAGGCCATTATGGGATGGGGTTGGATAAGGAATACTCCAACAGCACACAGCTGATTTGGGAATCCCTGCATTTCAAGGCTGGTGCAGGTCCAGTTCAGAAATGATGGAATTGACTCATGGTGAAAGTGAATGGTGAAGGTCTTCATAGTGAAGGTCTATGAAAAGAAAATTAGGAACAATTTCATATTTATTTCAGCATGGAGGCCAAACACTCTGTTATATTAAACAGTGAAATAATAATGTTTTGTAATCTTTAAGCTATGTTTAAACTAAATGCAAATTAATCTTAAAAAAAT